ACACATATAGTCCTTTAATACGAAAGGTATATGACACTATACTTATCATCAGTAGTCAAGTTGTAAAAACAAATCAGGGTGGATGGTGAATTTTATTGTTTATCAGACATATTTTGTGCTGATGACAGTGCACATGGTGGGAGACCAACTGTGTACCCTTTTTATTGTTGTTTAAGCAAAAACATAATTAATATATTCTACTATCCTAAAACAACATGCATGGTGTGGATGTTACGTGTCAGATACTCCTGTCATTGATCCTGACCGAGGCATCTCAGAATTGGAGGCAGTCCCCTGGCTGGCATAGCTATCACATGCTCCATAGTTAGGGTCAAATGCAGAGGACACATTTTCCCACTTGGTTCAAGTGCATCTTCATACTCATGGTACTTTGAAATCTTTTAGTAATTCATCTATTAAAATTCAAAACAAAACCTCAGAAAACATTGTAAATGAACATCTGAATCCTCTCAAGTCGGGTCAAGTCCATTTTAATTCAAATGCAAAAACAAAAGAATGAAACCATTGAAACAATTTACAAAGTCTGAAAATGAATCTTATAAATTGCACAAATATATAGCACAAACAGATTTTTTTGGATAAAAGTGACTTACATAAAACCTCATAGAAGTTTCCAAAGATTTTCATAATCATGTTTTTTGTTGTCAATTTTCCGGGCTCTTGCTTTTTTTTTTTTTCGGCACCAGAAGGAAACCTATGAACGCAAAAGTGACGAATGTAAGTGACGAACAAAACAATGAACGTAAAAGTGATAAGACAAGCGCAGACGGGACATGAAAAATAAATCCGAAATCGCAGGGGATACTTTTGGAGGTTGAATAGCCAAAGATCAGTTTTAAAAACGTTTTAAAATAATTTTAAAAATCGATTCGTTCAGACTTACGAATCGGTTCAACCCGTTCACTAAAAAAACCGAGTTAAAAAGAACGATTCGTTCGCGAATCGGCCATCACTAATGCATTCATTGATAAAATAGCACAAGGGATGGAACGGGGGGATGTTCGTTTTAGAAGGGGGATGATTTTGACTGTTTTTATTTCAGGGGTGATGACATCCCTCATCCCCCCTCAACTCGAGTACTGCTTATCATATATTTGAGTGTACTGTAGTTCATATATATATGTATGCTAAACCTGTATTTCGATAGCACTTAAAAGGTTTTAAATGCAGTAAAATATACTGAAAGCATAAAGTTAATGTACTAATTGTGCAATTAAAGAGAACATATATATTACTCCAAAGGCAATTTTATTCATGTAGTTTTAATGCATTTAATGAGTTCAGGTTGGTGGCCTAGAGTGATTTGTCTGCATTATAATGCATTATATATCGTGGCAAAAATAACACAAGTGATACATGTAATATATAAAAAGAATGATTGCAATATTTTCCAAATTAAAAATGTTCATGATTCAGTACAAATTAACATGAAAAATTGGTGCCAATTTGCCTTGCACTGCACAAATAACCAGAAGCTTCTTCAGCACTGTAGCCCAGAAGTCACCCATCTCTGCAGATTAATGTTTTCCAGGTGAGTAGCATGCATATGATGCCAGGTAATTTCAGGACAGAACAGTAACAAAACAGAACAATGATTAAAGTTCCAGTGGCGGCATGGTGGCACAGTGGCACGGTGTTTAGAGCAGTGGCCTTGCACTGCTGAGGTCAGCGTTTGAGTCTCTGCCATGGCACATATTGGCCCCATATGTGAGTGAATAGTATGTCAGTGTGCCCTGCGATGGGTTGGTGCCCCATCCTAGGTTGTTCCCTCCCTTGCCTTCAGAATAGGTTTTGAACCCCCTGTAACCCTGAATAGGATAAGTATTTTCAGCGGATGGATGTATTAAAATTCATTATTCAAAAAAATTAAATATCTATGGCGTGAAAGTTACAACCACTATATGTTGCCATACACTCACCATTCCTCTTCTGTGAAGCTTGGAAACTAATCAGTATCAATACTTTAAAGTGAACAAAATCGTAAAAACAGAATCTTTAAAAACAAATAGGCTGATCAAAAAAGCGAAACACAATTTGATTGATGGTCAGCGTGCACCGTTAATCACACCCTCCAGATGGCAGTGTGTGCAAAGGGAGCCAACTAGGCCATGCTTACAGGTGACACCCAGCCCAAGTACGTGCATGAATCGCTTTTAAAGATGAATGGAAAAATGCTGTTTCCACATATATCTTATATTATTCTTTATGTGACATGTAGTTGTGATCTTCCAAAATCCACGTAGTCCAAATCTGAAAACTGTATACACATATTTTATATAATTAATCAAATACCAATACCCAAGACAATCATTTGTCATAATTAAATATCTGGAGAATTACAAATAGGTAGCAAAGAAACTGGTAGATTCTCACCTCTCAATACCCTCTAAACATCTACATACACAACCATGAACATATCAAAGTAGTGTGGTCACCTTAAACTCCTTAAACTAGACTTAAACATGTAATTAACACACTGCACATGAATTAAGCACATGGTTAGTTGTTCCCCTTAATGACCTTTACTGATATTCAGATGCATAGTTATGCATTTTTAAACCTATTTGGTAAGCATTTCTATCCCATTCAGTAAAAATAGTTAATGGCACTCCAGTACAACTTAATATTACTGTGCTCTTTATATTACCAACACCATTCCTTTGAGTATTATTGCTTTGCCTGGGGGAAATCATGCCCATAAGAGCAAAAGAGCTGTCAATACAATCAGGTAATAAGTATGATGATCTGTAGAGAGAGAAATGATTTTTCAGTCTGATATGTGCTGGTTGGTATGCATCAGCTTACCATCGACATAAATACTATTATATCTGAAAGAGAGAAAATAGCACAGTTTTAATAGGACTATAGACAGCAATCATTTAAACTCAGGTAGTTGATGTAAGTCACAAATAAAAAGAACTACGTGCATTTTATGAGTAATTTAGAAAACACATGTTCTTGACATAAATCAAGAAAGTATGAATACCCTAATTAAGGTTCTTAACCACGTGATGTCTGAGAAGTTTATTTACCTGTCATCTTTCTAATGAAATATATAAGAAAGGAGAGCTGATGTGAAAATATAACTACTTTAATTTTAATGGAAAAGTGTTTTGTTCAGTGTAAAGTAATTGTGGATGGTTCAGCTGATACAATCAAATATGACAGAAATCGTGTTTCAGTGGAAATTATCAAGCTGTCTGAATATTTTTGTTTGTTAATTTGTTGTGTGAGCCACACACTGCCCCTCAGGTAGAGAAGGAAAGCATGGGAAAGATGTTTCAACATGGCCCAACATGAAGGAGAAATGTATATAATTAGTGACACGAGTGAATATGCCTGCTTCGCAACATCATGAAAAAAATCCTTCTCCACAAGTAGCCATTTTTCATTCTTGCACTAGTTGAATGGAATTCCTATAATAATCCAATGAGGAATTCAAAGGGTTAACATCCCTGTTGTAACCACCCGGATACAATAAAAGAGCCAGTTCTGACAGCATCTAGTGTGCTGAACCATTAAACCCAGCCTTTATCCATGCAAATCCAGACAGACAATGCCAGGCAACCAACTAGGGACTCAGATTCCACTGGAGCGCTCCAATGGCAGCGTGCGGGGGAGGGCTCTCTGTCTTGGATCACAGAGCTCCGATTGCAGCATCCTTGGAGCTGAAACAGATATTTTTCTGAAAAACACTTGAGAAAAACAGCCAAGAGCAACAGATAATCACAGAAAAAGAGGCAGAGTATGTGAGCCCAACAGGGTACCACTGGTCCTTGTCTCCAGAAGTAGTAGCAAACCTGGTGTTTTTTCTTTAATGTATTACATGTCTGTGAGGCTCCAGGGTTTTTGCTGAGAAGCCGGCAGGCAGGGAACAGGAGGTGGAAAACTGAACCGAAGAAGCAGGAAAAAACAGAATGACAGACAGATTACAAGATAACAGATGAAGAAAACTGATGTGCTAGATATCTTTCATACTCCTGAGTAATAGCTTCAGGCTGCCTTCTTCGGTCTCTCTTCTCTTCTGGACTTCAGCCGCAGCACAGAGCCTGGGTCAGTGGGTGCCTCCACCATTCATGGGATCAGGTAGTGAACTTTCATGAACCCTTCTGTATGGGGATAAACTTGCTTTGCTGCGTATAAATGGAAGTGTTATCCAGGAAAACAGTGCAAACAGAGCAAGGAGGACGAGTGTAGTGCTCATTGTCGATGGTGATCATTTCGTCATTGGAATTTTGTGTGGATTTGTCTGATGCCCAGTGATTGGTCTAGTGGAAGTCTACAGTGGGCCCTTCATTTTGATTGGTTGTGTGGTGGCACTGCACATGTTTCTCATTAAGTGGGCGGCCCATCCTGCGCAGTGAGTGCAGTGGCATGTTTTTGTCTTTGTGGCTTGGTAACAGGGCACAAGAAACTTTTTCCACCCCTGCAATTTATATTAACAGTATATAATAAATTAAAAGTAAGATAATTATGATTTCATTCCATATTACAGTATGTGCTCCTTTCCCTGTTCTCTAAACATCCCATACACGACAGCTGAGCTGCTGCCTGGGATTGAATGTGGACATCTGTGTTACAGCAGAGTATGAGCCAGTATCTCTTTCACAGGCCACTTTGTTTATTAGTCTCACAAATGGCAAAAATGTTTCACAATAGACCTTCACAGAGGAGACATTCCATTTATCATCTCCATTCACATTGTTCAATGAAAAAAAGCTCTCAAAGCTTTTTTTTTGTATAATTTCATCACAACAAAAGTGCTAGTCATTTTAATATAGTTTAAAAAATAGATACGGTGGTTTGAATTATATTGCTAAATGTTTATCTGCAAATGAGTTGAAATAATATAAAATAAAGAACTCACTGGTATTGCATTGTTAGTTGACGACAAAGCATATAGGTCAGATTTATTCTAAAAAATCTGGCTATATTTAAAAAGCTGTGATCAGTAACAGAATCTGTCCCCCGTGGTTAATCAGCTTTGAGGTCAGGGAGCGACGACCAGCACTCCACAAACATTTCAGAGAAACTTGGCCAGTTTCCCAACTTTGAGGCTCATTCAGCATCAGGTTTTTCAGGCTCAGGCAGCGCTGGGTGACAGGTGGGAGTGGAGCGAGTGCATCGTGTGGGGCCTCACTGATTAACGAGTCAGGCAGTGTGCAGGTGGCCACACAAGGCGGTGATAGGGGCCTAAGCAGGCAAAGCACGTTTGTGTGTGGGTGTGTGTGCGTTTGTGTGGAAATGCTTTCATACCGCAGGGCCAATTTTCTAGACATTTACTGGGGCCTGCTTTCCTTGGTACTGTACTTGCGTGGTGATGTGACGAAAGACAGCCACCCACATCCTGTCTGCTCCTGCACACTGGCACTGCAAACGTCAACGTGTATGAGAGAGAGACAGTGCCATGCTAAAGGCTCAAGATAGCGTAACGGGAACATTCGGCTGGGGGGAGGGGGGGGTTGTGGATTGACAGGTGTGGGTTGTGGTTGGTGTGAAAAAAATGGCTGCATGTTCTTTTCCTATAGCCGCCCCTTCCCTGCTCCCCCCCCAGGTTGACACAACAAACACAGAAACAAATGACAAAAAGATAACGCATCAGTCAACACAGTGAACGCGTAGCCCTCCCTCACACCTACGTTCAGTTTTTTGGATGAGCATTGCTTAACATGTGCTGCACTCCTGTGTAAGAGTGTACGTACCGCAATGCAGAAGTTAAACTTTTTATCCAGTAATGAATATATCAGCCTTTTAGCCAAAACTGACTGATTACAGAGTTGCTGATATGTCTGAAAACCAAATAGATCACACCAACATCTGTATATTTTATTATATGAAGCTTAATTATTCCTTTCACACTGGATTTCTGATATGCTTACATAACTAACCCAAACTCTACAGCTTACTTGACTCATAATAGTGTTTTTGCTTCTTTTAACAGCTAGACATTAATATGGTGTATTTGGTGTCTTTCTCATGGGGCAACAACAGAGCTCCTTTACAATGTTTACAAACTACTTACTTCATTGTCTTTGCCATACAGACATGCTAGCCTGCAGAAACAAATGATGTGCAGAGATCTCAAAAACAGTCATTGCCGTCTTCTCCCTTCTTCCTGCTCCCCCATCAACCGTCAGGGTTTGTGGACAAGGGGATTTGGAGAGGAAGCCTGCGGTTTCATAGTAACCATCTTTCCGTTGCCCTTGCCCTTGTGTAAGCTTCTCTGTGCCTTCTCACCTTGGTGGGCCTGCCCTCCCCCAGCAGAGATAGAGGCCTCCCCTTTATCTGCAGCATTTAATGCCATGGGGTCCTCAGAGAAATTTAAGGGGTGCAGGTGTTCCCTCTGTCACTTCCCCTTTTTGGTTACCATGGTTTCATTCCTTCTTCTCCGAGTGCAAAACATGTCCTAAGCTTTCTATAGAGTGACTTTCCTTGTTTATTTTCTGTTATTACACCCTGTGTACAAAGTCTATTTCCCATAACCTACATGTCTCCAAGGCTAACTGTTGTCGTGCCATTGTTAGACTACTTCTATTTAAAAAAGCAAATTCTCAAAATGTTCTTAAACTCATACTGATATTAAACATAGAAACTGCCCTTAAGAACTCACTTTCTTTATCTGTAAAAGGTTTTGTTTAAAAGAGAAAATATTTTTCTTGTGAACTATGAAGTTAATGTTTAATTACTTATAAATGATATAATGATGTAAATTCTCAGGTTGTCTTTGGATATCCATAAATCCGTTATACAGTTTCTCTGTAAAATATTTATAAGCTGTCAAGGCCTGTTTCTTTTTGTCACTAAGTTATAACAGAGTCAGGTAACAACGTCATTCCTGTACTATGACTGCCTGATTGTTTTGACTTGATGCAAGTTTTGTGTGCTGTAATCATATACCGGTCTCTTTACCTGTGGTTGGTAACAGAAACGCATTCATAATGCATTAATTATGAGGTCGCAGCACACCTGCTGGGCATTTGTCCTTCCTGCATTATTAAGGAGAGTTCTCTAAAATTCCATTCTGGAACCTGTGTGTTACTAAAATGAGGACATTTCCGTAGTAGGGATACAATGATTGAAACATTTTTGATATGGCTTGCAGTGTGAGAATTATGTCTATGAGATGGCCTTTTCTTTCAGAGAGAGCTCTCGGTGCTTGAGACAGGAAGGCTGAGCTCACCATGATTCAGCAGAGCCTGTTTCTGTGGGCAGTAGTGCACCGCACTGCGAAGTGACTCTTTCCCAAAGGACCCTACTTTTCCCCTGATGAAGAAACGATGCCAGTGACGACCACAAAGTCCCAGCTACCCAACACTGTCCCCACCACTGTCCTCTTACGGGGCTCCACAGTGTATGGGGACAGGCGGCACAACATCACCTCCAGAACAACCCCCATGACCATGACAGTGGCTGCAAACGATACTGGCTTCAACTCCACTAAGCCGTCCGAGCCAGTGGCTGGTGGGTATGGTGCGGCAATGGTGCTGGTACCCTTTGGTATCATCACTGTCATAGGCCTGGCTGTCGTCATGGTGAGTGAAGGCCCACACCTGTGCATCTTGGGACTTTCTACTGGATAACTCATTCTGATATGCCTGTCTTTCAGTCTAGCTGATCTGCACCCTTCAGTTGGCTAAGCACTCTTCATCTCAATGAGCAGCAATGCATAACCCATCCATCCATCCATTTTCTGTAACGACTTATCCTGTTCAAGAATTGTAGGGGGTCTGGAGCCTTCCAAGAGGCCATGGGTGCAAGGCAGGGAACAACCCAGGATGGGGCGCCATTACAGGCCACCCTCACATACCATTCACTCACACATGGACACCTGCAAACAATTTGATAACTCCAGTTGTGTGAGGCAACAGTGCTAACCACTGCATCACCATGTCACCCCCAGTTCATAACCATAAACAATAAATACATAATAACATGTTAACACTCCACATTCATATGCAGAACACTCAGAGATGAAATGTGGAAATACAGCCGGAAATTAAGAGACCGCAGCAGAATTTTTTGTTTCACTTGTTTCTCAATTAATGGGTGTGTGCGTGTATGTTTGTGTGTGTGTGTGTGTGTGTGTGTGTGTGTGTGGATATATTTATATATTTCTTGCAAACAGCAGCCAGGTTCTTCCCTGTTTCTCATTAATGAAGGGCTCCTTCCTTGCTTTATGGGACTTCAGTCCTGCTTCTAGGAGCCTGACTCAAACTGTCCTAGCAGTGCTGTGAGAGAGGGTCCCTTACAGTGTCTTGGCTTCTGGATCTTGTGCACAGGCTTTTGGCTGGGGTGGATCCAGTGGTCATGGTCCATGTTGGCACCAAAGACATAGGCAAGAGTAGGAGGGCTGTTCTGCAGGAAAAATGTATAGAAGTCGCAGATAAGCTTAGAAGCAGAATGTCCATGGTGGTATTCTCTGGAATACTTCCCGTGCCATGTGCAAGCCGGGCTAAGTTAGCTGAACCATAGGGGAACCAGTGTATTGGGGAGGCGTATGTGTAGAGTAGTTGAGGAATGTTTAAACTAGGGACTGGAGGGGCAGCTAGGTTAGTTAAGAATATAGGTGGGGGAGACGGAACGCCTCAAATAATAATGAAAGTGGGCACTATAAAAGTCCTGCTCATTGCTGTCTGTATTTAAATGCTAGGAGCCTTTGATTTACAGGCTTTTATTTCATCAGACTATTATGACATTATAGGAAAAACAGAAACATTGTTGTGTGATGATGGTGGAGAATGTATAATATAATATGGATGGTTACTTGTTGTTCTGTAATGACCAGATAGGCAAGAAAAGAGTTGGTGTTGCAGTAAAAGAAAACATAAAAATAAAAGTACTGAAGCTATATGGGTAAAACTAAATGCTAAAAACTCAAATGACCTAATATATACTCAAAGTGTTTGTTATAGAACACCTAATGTAGCTGCAGAGGAAAGCAGAATGTTGCACAACAATGATTATGTAGGAATTATTAGCTCAGGTAAATTTTAATATCTCCACCAATATGTTTTGAAATGAATCAAATTTGAATGAATTATTATTTAGTGCTGGTTATTAACCAAATGTTATGCCGAATGGTCGGCTCCTCCAAACTCAATTGCGGGATCCCCGTTAGTCTGTTAATGTTAGACTTAAATGGGATTCACTAATTACCAGTATCGCTTAGTAACCTGGGTTAGAAGGGTCGTCCAGCGAACTGCATCACCAGGTAATGTAAAGGATTGGTAGCGAAGCTCCTCTCACGGCTGATGAGAGAGAGTCTCGCGATATTTCAGGCGAGTTTGAGGTTTCAGAGCATGTAGCAAGATCGCCCAAAGGCAGGGACTATTGTGAGCACTCAATGAACGGAGGTTGAAGTTGTGTAAAAGACATGCATTTATTCTTAGCTAACACTACAACTAACATAAGACAGACATTACACCTAACACAAACAACAAACACGAAATAACGGAATACAAACAATGTAATTATGAATATGCAATGACCAGATTTAAATGAGTAACCTTAAAGGGAAATACTGTTCTGCAAGGCAAGCACAGTTTGTGGAAACACGACCCTAAAGTCTTATAGCAGGTTAACAGAATAGCTTAGGTTGTTAGAATAAGAGGAAGTTGGTTTACTTGGTTCTAGAGTGGGGGGAGGGGGTCTTGGCAGTTGGTTGCAGAGTTGATGAGCTGATGGGATGACGGCACTCAGGAAAGCGCTGCGTTTAGAGCAGTTACTGGAATGGAGCCCCTTGGATTCTCTCTCCTTGTGAAGCTTTGTCTTTGTTGCAGTTCTCTGTCTAGCTGGGCCTTCACCGGAGGGCTTCTTGTGGGCTTCTCTTCTCCTGGGCTGATGTTCTCTGCCTCTCTTCGGGCTGATGGTCTTTCTGCTCCTCTCGGGCTGATGGGCTTTTCTCTGCTCTCCTTTGTTCTGAGGTGCCAGGTTTTTATGGTCTAAAGTTCATGAATAGGGATGACCAGGAATTCGACTCCTGGACCAATGGCTGACCATCCATTTGGCAGGCTTTCGGAAGGGGGTCTGTATCAGTCCTTTTAGGATTTATGACCAGACTGATTCTCCCTTTACTGATGATTTTCATTAAGCTGGTATAACTTTTGACACATCCACTTTCATGGTAACCACTGACCAGATTTGGAATCAGAAGTGATTGTCCATCAGTTTGACATCAAACATGCCATACCTGCTTCACAGGTTCACACCTCATACCATCTGTATTAATTGATTAACAATTACTTATATTATGTATGTGACTGACTCACATCAGTATATGATGCAGGTGTTTTGGGTTGCACCTCAACAGATGTTACACTTTGTGCAGACATTACATCATATATTCACATTAAAAACAGCACATCTTATCCTTAGATAGGCGTGGCCGTTAGTTTGTGGTAATACCAATTTAAGTTGCACATCTGGAAACAACATATTTTGTTTGGTGTGGCTTATCCCAATTGATCTTCTCCAGAATGGATAAGGTACACCTTAATTCAGTTCTATTAATATAGCATGGTAGAACACAGAAAGCTTGGTAATGGACCACTAAGATCAGATAAGGACCACAAAGGAATGTTGGAAGAAAGGGGGGGGGTGCTAAACAAAGAAAGAAGAATCTCTGAAAGTTAGGACACACTAGGATACCTGGTTAGACTATTCAACTTTTCTTCTGGTATAACCATGAGAACATATATCCAGGGGTAGCTAATACCTATTTATTTATTCAAATTTACATAAGTGTTCAAGTGTAAAGGGGTAAAATAGGTGATACTCCGTGAACATGGTTATGAGGGTAGCACACAAAACACTAAGATTGTCTAAGAACACATACAAATATAACCTATCTGTATATTGAGACTGTTAGTCACGAGTAAATCAACATAGAGGGTATACAAAAGCCACACTTAAAAGAAACTTTCTATAGGGTGTTGGTCTGTTGGGTGAGTGGTATGTAAGGCAGGATGTCTGGGGAGGGGGTTGTGTGCCAAGTCGAGGGACCCCTGTCCTTGAGGTCCACTCTGCTGTCTGTAGGTCCCTAAATCTTTGAGCAATAAAAGTTGGAGTGCTGGCATCCCTTTTTATGTGTGTGTGTGTGTGTGTGTGTGTTTATGTGTGTGGGGTCACTAACCCCCCTTTGGTGCCTAGGCCAATGTCTACCTCTCGTACCAGGCTCAGCCTTGTCTCAGGCCACCTGGAATTTAAGCCCTGTGATATGTGCATGTGTGATCCTACAATTATGAGTAATAAAAATGATGTGGTGGTTATGGGTGATTTTAATTTACCTGGGATACAGTGGAACATAATCTCTGGTTCTACTGTAAATGAAATTGAGATGGTGGAATTGGTAAAGGATTGCTTTTTTTTACTCAGTCTGTTAAAATCCCTACTAAGAGAGAAGCCATTCTGGATCTTGTTTTCTCTAATAACCTGGATAGGATTGGAAAATGTGAGAGGTGGAGATTTCAGGTCCAGAGAGAACAAATCCACTTTTGAGTATAGAGGGTTACAGTCACACAGTACTCAACTGGTTGAATGAAACAAAATCTTGGTCTGGATTTGAACTCTCCGGACTTGAAATTTCCACCTCTGTTGACAGTATTGATCATAACATGGCTAAATTTGAGGTTAATTTTAGTGTCCAAAGAGCAAAGTCCAAAACAAAAATATATAATTTTAGGAAGGCTAACTTTAATGGTATGAGACTGAATCTGAAAACTCTAAACTGGATGGAGTTATTGCAAGTGCAATAGGACTTCATAACTGTTTCCAGTAAAACTAAACCTAGGAAACTGCAAGGTGGTTTAATAGTGAAGTTAAGACTAAAGTCAGGAGGAAAAGGGCTCTGTTCCACAAACACAAAATAACTAATGATGTCAGAATAAAGCAGAAGTATCTGAATCTACAGGTTGAGTTAAAAAATAATAGACTCGCTAAGAGGAATGTCGAAAGGAAGATTGCATTGGAGGCTAAGGATGACATTAAAAGTTTCCTCCAATATTTTAACTCCAAAAGAAATTACTAATCTGCAGGATAGTAAGGGTCTTATAATTGAAAATGAAATTGATATAGTTAATGAGTTTAATGGTGGTTTTGCACGGGTATTCACTGTAGAGGACACGAGTAACATACCGACTTTTATTACTAATCCAGCATCGTCTATGACTAATATGTATAAATGAAGCTTATGTTCTTATGTGCTACAAAGCCTAGCTAAGATCAAAATAAATAAATCGCAGGGCCCTGGTGGCATCTTACCTATGGTTTTAAAAAGGCTGAGGGATATTATTAGCCAACGTTTAATTTTTTCAGAAATCCTTATCTGCTGCTGTGGTTCCTTCTGATTGGTAGCATGCTAATGTAACTCCCATGTTCAAAAAAGGGGATAAAAGTAATCCAGCAAACTATAGGCCAATCAGTTTAACTTGCATAACTGGAAATGTAATGGAAGCTTTAATCCAAGTGAAAACGGTAGATTATCTGGATTCAAATAACATTCTGAGGGATAGCCAACGTGGATTTGGGAGAGTTAGGTCCTGTTTAACTAATCTTCTTGAGATCTTTGAGGAAGCTACAAGAAAAATTGATCACAAAATTAAATGTACTCTAATTAGATTTCTAGAAGGCCTTTGATGTTGTCCCCCACAAACATCTCCTGCTTAAGCTCAAAGCAACAGGGATTTTATGAACTGTAGCAGTTTGGATTGAAAACTGGTTAACAGACAGGAAGCAGCGGGTAGTTATTAGAGGCACAATGCCACAGTGGCCCTGTGTTCATAGTGGGGTACCACAGGGTTCAGTTTTAGGACCACCATTATTCCTAATTTACATAGACAATATCAACTCTAATATATACAGTAAATTGGTTACATTTGCAGACAACACCAAGGTGGGTGGTGTAGCAGATACTGAACTAGCAGCTACAGCAGGACCTTGATTTAATTAGTGACTTATATACCTGGCAGATGAAATTTAATGTAAGGTAATCCATGCAGGAAGCAGAAATATAAAGCACAGATTTTTTATGTATTTATATGTATAACTCGGTGTGTATGTTGATGCTTCCATGTCCCACTCTTGCCAGTGTGGGGAAACAATTAAAAAGGCCAATAGGATGTTGGGTTACATCTATAGGTTTGTGGAGTTTAAGTCAAGGGAGGTGATACTAAGATGATACAATTCCTTGGCAAGACCCCACCTAGAATATTGTGTGCAGGTTGGTTACCTTACCTTAAAAATGACATTGCTGCAAGGGCTACAAGAATGATTCCTGGTCTTAGAGAAATGTCTTATGAGGAGAGGTTAGCTGAGCTGAATCTGTTCGGCCTCAAGCAAAGGAGACTAAGGGGGACATGATCCAGGTATATAAGATTCTAATACAGTAGGTATGGATGCTGTTCAGCCAAATGGTTACTTCAATATTATTTCGAATACAAGAACTCATGGCCGTAGGAGGAAATTAGCGGGAGAATATTTTAAACCGGATTTTTACATAGCTTGTAGTTAGAGTATGGAATAGTCCTCCTGTTAGTGTAGTGCAAGCTAAACCCTGGGTTCCTTTAAATCAGAGCTAGATAAGATTTTAACAACTCTGAGCTATTTATTGAGTTCTCCCAAAATGAGATCGAACGGCTGCTTCTCGTTTGTAAATTTCTCATGTTCTGTACTTTTCTTATGTTCTTATGCACTTCATACCTGCACTTAATGTTTTCCTTTCCTTTGGAAGTTACTTGATGTCACCCTACGGTTCATGAGAAACTGAAACATATAAGTGAACGGTCATCTTTGGCATTAGAAAGGCGCTTCTTTACCTTTACCTGGCTGGTTTCTGGTCGTTTCCAGTGTCTCCTGCTTCACCTTATTCTTGTGCACTGCTGTCTTAGAAATTTTAAACCTGGACGCACCCTACTGCTCAGCGTAGCCTTATGCCAACTGAACCAGGATTAAACCAGGACTTTAAAATGCAGATTTATTTAAAAATATAGAGTGGTCTCTTAATTTTTTTTCTATGGCTGTAAGTCTTAGACTGTAGCAACAAAAATTATTTTTTGTGCATAATGAAAAAGACTGTTCCTCGATCATGTCTAGCTATTTATTGAAAATACACAATGATGAGCTCTGGCCATTGGTGATTTACTTGACAGTTAGTCAAGTAAATGACTAACTGTCTCTCAAACATACCCTTCTAGTAGGCCCCTTGGTCATCTGAAGTTGAGGGGCATTTCATTGTAAAACTTATTTTATGTGATCTACATAAAGTTTTAACTGTAATCTCTCCCGTCTCAATTTTAGATTCTGTACATCAGGAAACGTAACAGGTAAGAAGACACATCAGGTTTTTAGCTAAATGCAACTGACAGAGGAATTATGTTATGTTAAAGATGCTAATACCAAGAACACTGTACCTCCTTCTCTGAGCAGAAACCATTTACCCATGAATGTATAGATTTTCAGGTGCATGTGGTGATTCAGAGGACAGCCATGTTTTGCAGACCACTCTGTCACACACAGTTCCAGCCCTTGGATTCCTGGAGTTTCATCTCACTGACTGACAGCTGCTTTGACCACCAGGTTAGAGAAGCTGAGGCTGCAGCTGATGCCCATGTACAGCTTTGACCCGGCCGAAGAGCAGGATGAGCTGGAGAGCGAGGTGCTGGAACAGAACCGGGAGGTGGCTGCTGCTGGAGCTGAGCTCAAGGTATCCCTAGACCCAAAAATGGCAACCATAACCCCTTAACCTTAATGGCAGCCTTAACCTCAATCATAAGTATCTACACAAATTACAAGTCTTTTGGCATTTTTAGTTTTTTGATTGCAGTCACAGATTTTTTATAAAATTTCCCCTTGAGGGGACTGAAAAAATGGTCCCCCAAAATAACATTGTTTGGGACATTTGGTAGTATTTACATGACCCCTAGACACACACACACGCACACACACACATCCATAGGCCCGTCATCCATGACGTCAGGGAACTTCTGATCTGACTCTAAGCAGGTTTCCTTTATTTCTGGTTTACCTGAGCGTGAAAGAGGGGTTTAATGCCACACTGAAATTTTGGAATACAAGAAAGCCTAACCCTAACCATCTGTCAACAGCAGACCATCTAACAAGCATGGCACTGTCATCAAGGAGATGCTACTGCAGTGATCCTTGTTGCTCCAGCTGCAAACAAAAGAAAATCCGTATTTGAATTTCCACGATTTCCCTCTGGATGATAAAATATGTGCTCTTTGGGTGAGGGCGATTAAAAGAGATGAGGGGCCAACTTTCAAAATTCTTCGTGGGAGCACCAATGTGTAGTCAGCACTATGCCCCAGAGGATGTATATCAACCAGTGGACGAAATTAGATTAAACAAAGAGCAGTTCCATCTAGATTCCACTGGAATGACTGGGGTATACGAATTAAAGAAATATTACAATTCCATTTTGTTAATTATATTTGCTTAAAATGCAAATAAAAATAAACAATGTGAGCATTCAATATTTATCTTGCATTTGCTTTTTAATACAGTTTGTATTCATCCATATAAAAACAAAGTGTTGATTTTCTGACAGCAATAAATTGTCCTGTATAATATAAACTATTTGAGATATTTTCGAGGTCTGAAAACATTTATTAAACATTTATCAACATATTTGACAATTCTAGAAAAAGGCTGACAAATTCGGCAGTCAGCTTACCAGCGAGTAAGAAAGCATCTTTGTACTGCTGCCTGGATGAGTGTCAGGAGATGTTTGTTCTAGGGGGCTTTACAGAGGGGGTAATGCCTGCTGCCATAGTAGGAAAGGATCATGACTATTAGTATTACAGAATAAAATGTGTCAGGGTTCTACAATAAAATGATTATTTATTAATTTTGTGCGCGGCTGGACTTGCTTGTCTAGTTTGCACCGTTTCGTTAGGGGAAATACGTCTGCAATCCATTTAACATCTTCCTAACTGTACTTGGGGCAGATTCACCAGAGACTCGGTGAACTCAGGGACGGACTGAATATCTGGTGCACTGGGCATTTTCCCGGTGGGCCGGTGTGCTATTTGGGCCAACACGGTTTGTTTATTTATTTATTGGTCTGACCTGACCATAAAACTCGTACATCGGCAGCCCAATTGACACTGGGTTGGCCCAATCACATTTTTAAACACCACCCCCATTAGCTTTGGTCCCTGATGGCTGCGTAATGCATTCATCAAAAAAAGTCAGCACGGGAGTTTATTTCCTGACCACCAGCCCATGAAACATGTTGATCTGCAGCTCATTGTTTCTTTTCTTAACTGACATGGGACTGGCACGATCTGTGCCGTTGTGCAGTGTCAGTCAGTCAGAATCGTCTGAGATGGAGACGAAATGCAAAAAGAGGCGCAAAGAAACTGCATGAAAAAGAGAAACTGGCTCTTCAAGCAGACGGTGCCAAATGTGCCAAAATTACTGATATGTTTGCCACCGCAGGGCCTTCATCAGCTCCCGTGGCTGATGATAGTGGTGGTGGCGGCAATGCCGGCTGTGGCACTCACAGTGAAGAGGATAATGTAAAAACTGCAGTAAGTTGGACTGCTTTCAGAACATTAAGGCTATGTTAGGGCTGGGCGATATGAACCAAAAATCATATCTCAATATTTTTTAGCTGAACAGGAATATATGATATATATCTCTATATTTTTTCCCATACAGTAATTACAAATAGACAGTTCCATGTCAGAGATAAATATCCCCAGTGTCACAAAGACACTTTTATCCATAGACAGCTGCACATGTACATGAAAAAACGGCTTACACATTTTTATTGTATTAATAAATTACATTTTTTTGGAAGTATTTAACGTGTCCACTCTCACTGATTCGATGTGGATCGGGTGGCAGCCAAGGGAGATTCTGGCGGACCGATCTCTGGCTGACAAAACTGGCTTTTGGGATATGGAATGTCACCTCTCTGGTGGGGAAGGAGCCTGAACTTGTGCATGAGGCTGAGAGATACCGGCTAGATATAGTCGGGCTCACCTCAACACATATCATGGGTTCTGGAACCAACCTCCTGGAGAGGGGCTGGATACTCTTTTCTTCTGGAGTTGCAGCGGGTGAGCGACGCTGGGCTGGGGTGGGGCTACTGGTGGCCGCACAGCTCAGTGCATTAACATCAGAGTTTACCCCGTTGAACAAGAGGGCTGTCTCCCTACGCCTTTGGGTCCTGGGAGAGGTCTCTGTCTGTCATCTGTGCCTATGCGCCGAATGACAGTTTGGAGTACCCGGCCTTCTTGGACTCCCTGAGTGGTGTGCTGGTTAGCGCACCATGAGGGGATTCCATTGTTTTGCTGGGGGACTTCAACTCTCACGTGGGCAACAAGAATGTGGCCTGGAGGAGGGTGATTGGGAGGAACAGGCTCCCTGATCTGAACCCAAGTGGTGTTCTGTGGTTGTCCATAACGAACACCATGTTCAAGCATAAAGGTTGTCCATAAGTGGACATGGTATGAACATACCCGGGGCTACAGGTCATTGATTGATTTTATAAGCGTATCAGCTGATCTGCGGCCTTCTGTCTTGGACACTTGGGTGAAGAGAGGGGCAGAGCTGTCAACTGATCACCACCTGGTAGTGAGTTAGCTCAGGTGGCAGGGGAGGAAGCTGGTCAGAGCTGGCAGGCCCCAGCATATAGTGAGGGTCTGCTGGGAATGCCTGGCAGAGGCTCCTATTTGCCAAATCTTCAACTCACACCTCCAGCAGAACTCCAACTGCGTACCGGGGAGGTCGGGGATATTGAGTCTGAATGGACATTGTGCCGGACCTCCATTGTGGAAGCAACCGTACGGAGCTGTGGCTGCAGGGTGGTCGGTGCCAGTCGTGGCAGTAACCCCCGTACCTAATGGTGGAACCCAGAGGTGTGGGGGGCTGTCAAGCTGATGAAGGAGGCCTACCGGGAATTATTAGCCTGGGGGTTTCCGAGGGAGCTGACAGGTACCAGCAGGCAAGGTGGAATGTGGCTCGGGCAGTGGAAAGAATTTGGTGAGGCCATGGAAAGTGACTTTCAGTTAGCCTCAAAAAAGTTCTGGCAAATCGTCTGGGATATCAGGAAGGGGTAGCAGCTCCTGGCTCTTACTGTTTACAGTGGGGAGGGGGTGCTGTTGACCTCACCTTGGGACATTACCCGGAGGTGGAAGGAATACTTTGAGGACCTCCTCAACCCTGCCTCAGATACATCCATGCGCACCGCCTTCGAGACATCGAAGGGCACGGGGCCCGAGGGGGCTGGGGCGGACTTGCACATCATTGAGGCTGAGGTTGCCAGGGTGACTAAAGAGCTACTTGGTAGCCAGGCCCCGGGGGAGGACGACAGTTGTCTGGGGTACCTGAAGGCTCTGAATGTTGTGGGGCTGTCATGACTGACCCGCCTTCTCAACAGTGCATGGAGGTCAGGGACAGTACTGCTGGATTGGCAGACCGGGGTGGTGGTCCCCTTATTTAAGAAAGGGGACTGGAGAGTGTGTTCCAACTACAGGGGGATCACACTTCTCAGCCTTCCTGGGAAAGTCTATTCCAGGGTACTGGACAGAAGGGTGAGATCAATAGTCGAATCTTGGATTCTGGAGGAACAATGCGGTTTTCGTCCTGGCCATGGAACACTGGACCAGCTTTATACCCTAATGAGGGTACTGGAAGGAGCCTGGGAGTTTGCTCATCCAGTCTACATGTGTTTTTTGGACTTGGAGAAGGCTTACAACTGGGTTCCCCGAGGTGCTCTGTGGGGGTTGTTTCGGGAGTATGGGGTTTGGGGCCCGCTACTGTGGGCGATTCGATCCCTATATGAACGGAGCAGAAGCTTGGTCTACATTGCTGGTAATAAGTCGAATGTATTCCCAGTGTGTGTTGGGCTCCTCCAGGGCTGCCCTTTGTCACCGATCCTGTTTATAATATTTATGGACGGGATTTCTAGGCGCAGCCAGGGTGTTGAAGGTGTCCAGTTTGGTGGCCTCAGAATTGCATTGCTGCTTTTTGTAGATGACATGGTCCTGTTGGCTTCATCTGCTGGGGCGATTTGCAACCGAGTGTGAAACGGCAGGGGTGAGGATTAGCACCTCCAAGTCTGAGACCATGGTTCTCAGCCAGAAACGGGTGGATTGCCCTCTTCAGGTCAGGGAGGAGGCACTGCCTCAAGTGGAGGAGTTCAAGTATCTCGGGGGCTCATTCACGAGTGATGGTAGAAGAGATCAAGAGCTGGACAGGTGGATCGGAGCGGCGTCTGCACTTTTGCAGGCGCCTAACCGGTTTGTTGTGGCCAAAAAAGAACTGGGCCCGAAAGCAAAGCTCTCGATCAATTGGTCCATCTTCATTACTACCCTCACCTATGGTCATGTGGGAAACAACCAAAAGAATGAGATCACGGATACAGGTGGCCATTGAGGTGGTTTGAACACCTGGCGCAGATGCCTCCTGGGTGGAGTTGGTAGAGGTGGCTGGGGAGAGGGAGGTTTGAGTATCTCTCCTGAAGTTGTTACCCCCGGGACCTGGACCCCAGACAAGCGGATGGTGATAAGAACATAAGAAATTTACCAAAGAGAGGAGGCCATTCAGTCCATCAAGCTCGTTTGGGGAGAACTTAACTAATAGCCCAGAGTTGATAAAATCTTATCTAGCTCTGATTTAAAGGAACACAGAGTTTTAGCTTGCGCTACACGAACAGGAGGACTCTTTCATACTATAACTATACACTGTGTAAAGAAGTGCTGTCTCAAATTCATTTTAAAATGTTCTCCCGCTAATTTCCATATATGGCCACGAGTTCTAGTATTTAAACTAATATTGAAGTAGCCATTTGGCTGAACAGCATCCAGACCTGTTGGAATCTTATATACCTGGATCATGTCCCCCCTTAGTTTCCTTTGCTCAAGGCTAAACATATTGAGCTCAGCTAACCTCTCCTCATAAGACATTCCTCTGAGACCAGGATTCATTTTTGTAGCCCTACGTTGCACCCTTTCCAAGGCACCAATGTCCATCTTTAAGGTATGGTGACCAAACTTGCACACAATGTTCTACGTAGGGTCATACCAAGGAATTGTATAATCGTAGCATCACCTCCCTTGACTTAAACTCCACACACCTAGAGATGTAACCCAACATCCTATTGGTCTTTTTTATTGCTTCCCCACACTAGCGAGAGTGGGACATTGAAGCATTAACATACATCAACATGAGTTTTTTCTCATAATCAGCTACCTTTATTTCAGTGGAACCCATAAAATATCTGTACTTTATATTTCTGCTCCCTGCATGGATTACCTTACATCAGGGGTCTCCAACTCCGGTCCTGGAGGGCTACTATCCAGTAAGTTTTCTATCCTACCTGGCTTCTGATGAGTCACACCTGCTCATGGTATTTTTCCTGAGAACAGGTGTAGCTCATCAGAAGCTGGGTATGATAGAAAACCTACTGGATAGTAGCTCTCCAGGACCGGAGTTGGAGCCCCCTGCCTTACATTTATCTATGTTAAATTTCATCTGCCATCTGCCAGGTATCAGCCCAGTCGCTAATTAAATCAAGTGGTGGTGTGCATGACTGTATGTGGTGGGCCGGTCTGGACCAAAATGCCAGGGCCAATCCCATGCCAGGGTCCCAGTCCGTCCATGAGTGAACTCCTTGAGAAAGTATAATTCTCAACTTTACCTGTTTTCTTTACTTAGCATTCAGCTTTCTTGTATTTCAACATTCTGGTGCAGTGCTAGGGTAAACTAGAAATAAGGATAACCTTCTTAGAGTCATTGTGAAAAGATGCGCAGATTTACATGGACATACTAACAAACCTGAACACTATTCTCAACACGCATTGGTTATCTGATGGCAGCAGCAAAAACAGCAGTTAAGCTAATTACATTTGGTAGTCATCCTCATACCTACTAATGAAACTAAAAACACAGAGACTAACTCAAAATGAAACAGACTGACATGCTCACTGGCAGCCTGACAAACACTCATGTAGACACTCCCCAGCAATAGCACTATCACAGGCACAAAACACAAAACCAAACCGGGCAACACCCGGTATTAAATTACGCTGAGTAATGGTAGCATTAAAGCTGCAAACGAACACGCTTTCAGACCTCTACCAAGACAAACATCTACACTTCCAGGCCTGCAATATACTGCAATGTACTGAAAAGGTATAATCAAAACTAATACTGAAAAACTGTCCTAACCCGTGGTAACAGGTACCACCCAAGACATTCTGAAAACCTTCCTTCAAAAAATCTAAATAAAACCACTCGCTCTCACTCCCATTTAATGAGAAATACTACTGAAAAACAAAAAGCTTTCAGGCTGGTTTCTGCTGGGCCCCAACAATGGAAAGTAAATAACAGCTTTGCTTGCAGTTCATACCAGTATTATCCTTTACCTTTTATGTATTAATTACTTTCATTCTTTTTTTCTTCACAAATGTCATTGTTTTGAAAAGAAGCTGTTTGTTATGACTGGACAAGCTGAAGATTGTTTGAAGCTTTCTACAGTAGGTCAGCCACCTGCCTGAAGTTGGCCCCCCATATGTTTCAAATTTCAACTAAACAGGTCTCAATCGTATGTGCCGCGTTTGTGCCGGATTGTGCCGTTAAAATTTTTGTTTGTGCTGTTTTACTTTGTGAGATATAAATGTTTGTTTACATGGTGATGTCATCAGCGTGAAGTTAGCCCCCCATTTGCGTCTGATTTCCACAATGACCCAATCGCAATCATGTGTGCTGCGTTTGTGCTGGTTTGTGCCGTTAAAATTATCCTTTGTGCTGCTTTAGTTTCTGAGATATTAATGTTGTTTACATGGTCACGTGACACCAGTGGCCTGTACTATGAAGCGGGGTTACTGGCTTATCGGGGTAACTTGTCGGATTTAAGGTACCACAGTTTAAATGGACTTCATATTCGCTCACTTACATTTTGCCCAGACTACCTTAAATCCAACAAGTTACNCTTGTCGGATTTAAGGTACCACAGTTTAAATGGACTTCATATTCGCTCACTTACATTTTGCCCAGACTACCTTAAATCCAACAAGTTACCCCGATAAGCCAGTAACCCCGCTTCGTAGTACAGGCCACAGGGGGAAGTTAAACCCCCATTTGTGTCTGATTTCCACCAAACCGATCGCAATTCTGTGTGCTGCGTTTGTGCCGTTAAAACTGTCCTTTTTGGTAGAACAGATGATAACCTGGGTCAAGCCTGCACGTAACGAGGCAGTATGTAACGGTCGGTCATTTGGGAAAATATCTTGCATGATCCTAAAATGCGGTATCTGGCTGGCGGGGCTGACTAAGTTCAGTACGTGCAGCTTTGTCGCGGAGTCATCAAACGCTCCACCTTCTGTTAACATGCGAAACACGAGCCTGAGCACTATACAGCGATCACGTAAAGGCATTAACTAAGAGGTATAACTAAGAAAGATAACAGTTCAGACAACTTTTAAACAGCACAAACTATTGAGACCGGTTCGGAGGCAAATGGGGGGCTAACTTAACAGCGGAGTCACATGACTGTGTAAATAAGCAATATCTCTGCACAGAAGCAGCACAAAGGACAGTTTTAACAGCACAAATCGGCACAAACGATTGCGATCGGTTTGGTCGAAATCAGACGCAAATGGGAGGGGGGGCAACCTTACAAACATTAATATCTCAGAAACTAAAGCAGCACAAAGGACAGTTTTAACGGCACAAACGCAGCACACACGATTGCGATCGGTCTGGTGGAAATCAGACGCAAATGGGGGGCTAACTTCACGCTGATGACGTCACCATGTAAACAAACATTTATATCTCAGAAACTAAAATAGCACAAACAAAAAATTTTACTGCACAAACGCGGCACATACGATTGAGACCAATTTGGTTGAAATCTGAATGAAACATATGGGGGGCAACTTCACGCAGGTACGGCAGCCATGAGAAAACTGCCTTCATGCCCTTTTTGTCAACCATGCATTCTCATGGACTTTGCCTAATGCGCAAATATTTGACATTCATCACACATCCCAATATAATGTCTAGTGAAATCTGGTTGTTCATTTGGCCCAACTGTAATTGGATCCTCTTAAAGGTTGCTGTCAGAAAGTAGTATGAGAGTATAGAAATGATGAATTGTGGTTATCTTAAGCTGCTGCACCGGGGCTCTTAAATATGCAGCAAGTGGAGTGAAATGGAAGGAAGGAAAAGGAAGAGGTGTATGTGTGTAAATGGTCGGTAGACACCATAAACCACAAGAATAGAACTGTTTTAGGGCGAATGAGAGAACTACATACAGTATTAGACCAGGCAGTTGAATACACTAACTCAACAGCATCAGCTCACCAAACACCATGTCAACGACCTTTCTCATTTTCTCTTTTTGCCTCCGGAAGACTCTGACGACCACTCTAGGAAACACAGAGAATCCTGGCTGTCTGGGGCTTACGGATGTGGCCAGCACCATGAATGCATGATTCCACATCTGGGTGCAGAGGGAGGGTCAGAGGCCATAGAAGGACTTGAGAATGTGAAGAAGAAGCTAGACATGCCTTGTGTTTCAAATCAAGATATGTGGCACGCAACGAGAAACATCTAAACATTTAGCATAGTATTATCATGAACGTAATGTATCTTTTTGTATTATTTTGAAAGAGGTAAATTCTGAATGGTTTTCAGCTTTAACAGAACAGCAAGGAATATTTTGGAAGAGCTTTGCTGAATATCTTGTTATCGAAATTCATGGGGTATGACCTGAGCGAAGCAGTTTAGTATTTAGATGTTAACTCACCCCTGCTTCTCAAAACCCTTCTACTGGCTCCAGTGGCAGCAGCCTGACGTTGGGGTAAGGGCTAGCTACAATCATAGTGCGAAATTGGAATGCACTATTATTGTCTCTCTCTCCACAATGTGTGTGTGCACAATCATCTCTATTCACCTGTTATCACATGGTACAATTAAGAGCTTGAGTTTAATAACTTATTTATTTTATTATCCTCCTGGATGTCCAAAATTGTCCAAAAAAAATAGAAAAAGACAACAGTTAAAAAATAGAGGGGGAACAGTAGAGGAGTACAGCATTTGCAACTTGGAAACTGATTTGTGTTGACCTCTTGACTGTTGGACTAGTATTTTATTGGAAATTTGTTTTTCACATGCAAGATTGCTTCTTTATAGGCAATAGAGCTTAATTGTGGTGTTTATGCTTGGATGTAATCATTTGACAATGCTACACATCAATGCTACACTGACAAATTTCAGCCCAAAGCTGCAATAAGAACATAGGAACATAAGAACTATACAAACGAGAGGAGGCCATTCGGCCCATCGAGCTCGCTTGGGGA